GATTTAACAGGCAGGTAGAATTTCACTGTATGCGCATGAAAAAAATCTGTGTCTGTTTGAATGTGTCCACTTTTTGATCTGACCTTGCATTTTTAACCTTTGAGCTCACTTAACCTTTGCTTTACGGTTGGTCGATGACATCCGGCTTCATAAACCTCCACGTCGCCGTCTCACTGCCCTGTCGTGTTTCTGACTCTCTTACCTTTTTTTCCCCCCATCTCCATTGTGTTCCTCTCATCCTGCTGCGCGTCGCGTCGTCTCCATCTCCTCCTGCCTCCCACTCTTCCACCTCCCGTGAGGAGCGCTCAACCACACAGTGATAGCAAGAAAAGCTGCACCGTTCCACAGACACACCATGTGTTAGCAATAAACATAATTCATTCTTTCTTATTGTGCACCCCGTTCCCCCCCTGTGCATGATCCGAGCAGAGAAGGGGAGGGGGAAAGAGAGATGTGGAAGGAGTGACGGGATGCTTCCCTGTTTCATTTTCAAGAGCTCGAATAAATACGTTTGCATCAGAAATGCAGTGTTGTACTTTCTCTTTTTTGGCCATGAGCCCGAATAACAGCCAGCAGCGAAGCAGTGTTTGCACACCGGCCAGCATCGGTTTATTTTTATTTATTTATTTCGATTGGGTTATATTTTACCTGAAGTGGGCAAAACACAGAGTGAAATGTCTCCCTTTCGTGCGGCGCAATGCAATTGACGATCGTGTCACGGCGGCTCAGAGCTCGCAAACCCAAGGAAGCTTGTTTGCGGCTCACCGGTGAAGTACTTGGCTTGGGCACTAGGAGGCAAAATATCAAAAGGGATTCACATACGGGGGGAGAGGGGGGGGGGGGGTCGGGATGCAGAGGAGAGACAAACACAGACAAGGAAGTATTTCCATATTTTGAAGCCATATGGAAGGAGCCACAATAAGCAATCAGATGCAAATGGCAGCGCATCTCTTCCATTTATGCAAACAGGAGAAGGTAAAAAAAAACATGCACTTAAGAGCAAACTGCAAAGGCATTCACTTCTCTTTTGTTTGCAAATGTTAAATGCAGATCCATATGCCGTTTTCATATTACAATATAAATGTAGGTGCTTAAAGCTTTTAGCTGTAAAACTGCGTTTTTGGACAAGTGGGCTTTTTACTAAAGGTTGTTAAAATGAGTGTACACAATGTTGAAAAATATGCAGGGGCTTTTCTATTCTGGTTATTATCGGGAAATGTAAACGCTATATGCAGCGCTCCACTTCTAGACCGACAGTTACCCTCGAAAATATATTCGTCTGTCTGCTCTGCATCTTTAAGAGATGGGCTCACATTGTAGTTGCCACCATATGCAACTCCAGGCACAGTCGTAGACCCGGTGCTGCATGTGGCAGGATGACAATTATATAAAAGGAGGGCTTTGTCTAGGCGTGCACGACTTCAAAGCCCAAAGAAGCGGGGCCCGTTTCCTCTCCGAGCTGTAATTGACGCCTGCTGCAGTATCACGTAAACGCGCCGCGTAATCGTCTGCCTGCAGAAGGCCGCAAAATCGTTGCCGCACTCTGTCCATGCATGACATGTGACTACGATCCCTGAAATAGCACATCCTCCGTAGCGGAACAACCTCCCCCATGATCCCTTTCACAGCGCGGTCTAAGGTGGCAAACATTGACGCTGCGTGCGTGGACTCGTCATGACAGCTGTAAGCCATTCTATTCATAGTTCAGTAAAGAGAACACGGGAAAATGCACAGAGAATTAAATAAAACCTCATTACCGGTATAATATTTACTCTGCTTTATTGATTCCAGTTCCTGCACAGGTTGGCTGGATGTAATCAGACACCTTTAAAAAGGCAGCTAACTTTCCATTAGTAAATTGTGTTTCCGTGATCCAACTGATGTCCAAGAGATGTTGATCTTGCTACTGTGCAGCGACACTAGTAATACAACGCTAGACGTAGTTTTAACAGGACAGCATACTGCTGACCCGGCAGCACAACTACACAAAGCCACAGCACTGTGAAAAGACGCCGTCGGAACGAGGCGCTTTCCCCGTGGACATTGAGAGAGGCCTACGGGGCCGCAGCAGACGGCGTAATGAGGTCCACTTTCAGCATTTGCGCTCCCGTTTACTCACATCTGTCTGCAACTAGCCGACCCTTAATGCACACGCTGGAATGTCCAGGAAAACTGTTCGAGACTGCAATCAGCCAGCCCTGTTTTTGACCTCTATCACCCCCCCCACCCACATAAAACACAGTTAAAGGGTTTTAGATGTGCGGACGCAGCTAAAGGCCGTGACTTTTGGTTGAACCGCAGCGTCGAGAGAGATCAAGACGACTAATGAATATTGTTGCACTTCACCCCCCCCCCCCCCCATTGATTCCCCTGTTGGGTGAAGACAACTCTATCCCCGTGGCAAGTCCCTGGCTTATCTCCCCGACAGCAAGGCAGCCGACTGACCGACGGGGCGGTTGGGGGGGGTTGGGGTCTCTCTGGCCCTGTTTCAAGGTGGCGATCCGAGCCTGAAAGGTGTGAGCGGGTTTCCTGACCCAGGCGAGGGGGAAAGGGGGGGGGGGTGTTGGATTATCACAGAGAGCAGGCGGCTGGGGGAAGACGGGGGAGACAGAAAGTGAGAGGGGACGGGGAGAAAAGGTGGCAGGTGGCTGTAGGAGCGTACGTAGGTTAGCTTAGCATAAAGATAGCACCTGCGCCTCTGAAGTGGAATACACTTTATATCCTGTAAAAAAACACACTTTTGGCTGTACACTTACATTTACATTGTTCTGTGTGTGAGCAGTACAACCCGGCATGGACTCACATCACAAAGCCCGGCTTATTAAAAAAATAAAATAAAAAGGCTGCAAACACATTCTCATCGATCACACCTGTGTGATGCGAAATGACTTTGACGCGGCGACGCCGCAGCGGACGCGTCTGTACGAGCGCAAGACGTCAATAATTTATGGGGGGAATAAACAGCATCAACGCGACTTCGACTTCGTCTTCTGGATCCATCCTCTGAGACCCGGAGGACAACTGGATAATAAACTGACGAATAAGCAGGAAATTTGAAACCGCTCGGGTGGTGAGTGCGCCTGCATTAAGTATCACTGCGAGGAGGAGAGAGGTACACACTCCAACTCCACGTGTGATGTTCTTGGATTATACAGAGATTAATTTGGTCAAAGCCCCCGGTCAGGGGAGAGCCGTGCAGGAGGCCAGCTGCCGCAGTAATTCATCCCATTTGGCTTCAACTCGAGCAAAAAAGAGAAAAGAAGAGAGAAGCGGCCGAATCGTGTGTGTGTGTCCCGGTGTCACAGAGACACAAAGAGCTGCAGGCTCATTATTTCTGACTTACTGTCCTCCAATCAGAGTTGGTGACACAGCTGGGAGAGCAAGGGAGGGGGGGGGAGGGAGGGGCCTGGACACACGCTACGCTAATACATAACCACCCTGTTTGGGGGGAGAGGAGATATCCGCTGAATACAATTCATCCTCCCCACCCAAATGTGGTGTGTGGTCCAAATATAAACCACGCGTAAGAAAGAAAAACCGAATTTGTTTTTTTTGTATTGGGATGTTTCCTTCATTCATTGTGACGTTTTATTGTTCCTTCATCCTTCTCCTGGTTTCATTTAGATTACGCGTTTCAGTGAAATTGTTCTCTTGGCGCATCTCCATCTTAAATGTGTTGCTTTGTGGGAAAGCCCGGTGGGTTAGACGATTATCATTATGACTGAGCCAATGATATCAAACCAAAGTTGTTTTACATTTTCTCCAATGATTACATGTAATGAGACAAAATTACCTCCAGAACTAGGATTTTAAAATCATTTCCCACGGATTAAAAGTTGTTCGGTGTCCCTGGCCGCTGCGCTCTGCGTCTGCTTATGTTGTTTTATGCACTCAGCACTCGATCCTCTCCTCTGGCTTTAAAGGGAAATGCACTGGCCAACAGCAGAGACTACTCTGCAGCCACGCAGGAACGAGGTGCCGCTCGGCTCCTTCGCAAATCCAAGGACGCCGCATCGGAGCGCCGCGCGGCGCAGCTTTCCTCTCCGCACGTGTGCATCGGGCAGATGTGGAAACGGACCGCGAGCGAACCAAGCGCCACAGATACATTCCTGCTCCCTTAAGAGTCACCTCTGGTCTAACGAGGTCCCAGTGCTTTCATTTCACCGTTCACCACACACGCCTCCAGATGTGCACAGCCTCTGGCGTCCCCACTCGCTCCCTCCCCAGGACATTTGCACAGTAGTTTCTCACCACTGGAAATATATGCACATACTTCATCTCTATACACATGTTTCTTACCCGTTTATAATCTCCTTTTTTGCATGTGTATATATATATTATATAATTTTATATTTTTCTCCTTATATTGCACCAATCACCAAGACAAATGCCATAGTTTGGAAGGCTTCCGAGCTACAACAACTGATTCATGAGAGGTGCGGCTGTTATGAGATAAGATAATATCACCGGAGGTAAAACTTCGGTTGGAATGGCCTTGGACAGACGAAAAAAAAGAGGACGACGGCAACAACTGAGAGTAGTAGCAACACATTTCCCCGTGGATCAGTCGGCTGGATGTCATGATTGATGACACCTCCTGTTTCAACGCCTCCTGAAGGGCCCCTGAGGCAGCGAGCCGGCTGATGACGCACCTCGTGGGAGAAATTACAGGAAATGATAGCGGCTCTTTTGTCCCTGGAGCAAAGACTCACGATAAGTGGAACTGGTGCCAGGTTGTAATTACAATGATCTTTGTTCGTTTGCTTTATTTACATTAACTGTTCTTCTTCATTTTAGGCTACTGATTGACTATTTGTATGTCCTTTTGGGCATTCTCATCAACAAAGTATCTACAACTGTTTTTACAACCAAAGGGTTGAACGTGGATATCATTAGCACCCACAGCTGTTAAGCCAGCAGCTCATGTCCGTCGTGGTAAAATCCACAGATACGCCGACCGATCGGATTCGGTCACTGAAGCGCCGTTGTGAGAGGCTCACCGTGGTCTAAGATGACGAGCTGCGCGCTGGACTGGATGTTGCCCGCGTCGTTCTCCGCGAGGCACTGATAGAAGCCCTCGTCCGACTTGACCAGACCCAGAACCTGCAGGTTGTGCTCCTTCTACACAACAGGAAGCGGGGGAAAAGAAGAAATACGAGCGGTTATTAGCATTAAGTAGCATTTGCACCCAAGCTCCAATGAAGCTATGGAGGTACGAGAGGCTGTACTTTATTGTCAAATAATGTTATTATGGCTCAATAAAGTATTATAATGAGTGTACTTTGCGCGACCGTTAGTTGTCATATCAGTTTTTAGCTCAAAAAAATGACAGAAAATGCCGCAAATGATCGTTTTCAGGGCAAAGCGAGCTTTCGGGACCGGACAACTCAGGTGGACGTCATGAGCGATGTGAATGGATGAGATGGTGCGAGATCTTGCAAGGAGACAACAAATTCACGTCGATCTCGTTGCTAACAGACGCGATGTTTCCAATGGTGTTTCTCTGACACACGTATGGGGACTATTTTCTCTCGGCTACTAAAATGCAAAATGCACAACGTATTGTGGCTACAGCTATTTTGTGCTGAAAGGCAGCTATATATCTCAAATATATAATAATGTTACAGTCCGAGGGTTATCGCGCCTAACACCACCCTCAAACTGTAACATTATTAGACCATAAAGTACTGGCTCGAGTACCTTATTAGAGCTTAAATAAATAAAGTACACCCCGGGACTCACTTTAGACTCTTATAAACTAGTATAATTCTTGATAACAATGACGTCAAAGCAAATTAAAAAAAGGTGGAAAGGTAAACTCACAATTATTTTGAAGTAGTCACTGGGGATGACGGCATCTCCGTTCTTGACCCATTTGACGGTGGGAGCCGGCGACCCCGACACCTCGCACTCGAAGACGATGTCCATGGACTCGTAGGCATAGATGTTGTCCGGCCGCTTGACAAACCGAGGAGGAACTGTGGGAACCAGACGAGAAAAGGGGATTAAAAAAAATAAATCAAATTGACTAAACACTTTTAAAGCAAAGCCAATTTGTTAAAACTAACCGAGCACATTTCACTCGGCAAAGGAATCAGTCCAAGTGATGTCATGCCTCCCCTTTGAATTCACAGCTAGGAGAGGCTGGAAAGGACAACAAACAGCACCTACCTCACAACAACTTATCCAATTATTCCGCTGTACCCTTCACACGACTGCGACCTTTCCGGCAGATTTGATATTACGGTTCAATAACCTCGGTTCTTCATAAAAAATAAGAATAAAACAGCCACTCAGGTACCAGTGCCGTGTGCCAGCGTGCCGCGCTGGCTGAGCGGAGCACTTGCAGATCTCCTTTGGTCCCTCTAATGAGGGCCAGAAAGGAGTTATTTGATCCGCTGGGGTGATACAGCGCCTCATCAATCTGTCCCAGAACAAGGTCAGCGGGAGCGCCGGGCCCGGGCCTCGTCCTCGCTCTATAATTGGACTGCATGTGTGTGTGAGGAGATGACGTGTGTGTGTGCAGGCGCACCAGCGCCGTTGCCGCCTCTGTGCTTTCTCTGATAAGCGGGCGACCCCGCCGACCACAGTTTGAATTACTGTACGGTGGAGCCTCGCCGCCGGGCCCCTGGGCGCTGTGATAGCCGCTTATTAGCATCTGCACGCTGGCATTTCGCATTGGGCCGATTGGAGATTAGCAGCGTTGGTGGGGGGGGGGGGGGGACTCGGCTGAGTCGCAGGTTGTGGGGTCAAGTCCCCCTCACATGCTCGGTGCAGCAGCGGCTAATTTACTTCAGCGCGAAATGGCTGGTGAGCTGATTAGCATTCATTCAAGGTTCCAAACAGCGAGAGGACGGACGCTTCCATATTAGTTCTTTGTGGTTAAAATGCAACAGGCACTAATGTACACTATAAACAGTTCAGCAACAATAGTCTCAGCTGGCCAGCGACAGGACTGTGTTTTCCTAACGTGCACTCTGCCCTCCTGTTTAGTACAAAGGAGCAGAACTCGGGGGAAGTCGCACTAAAAGAGATAGCGGCGAGCAATTGTCCCAATGTTTGCTCATCTAAGAAGCAAGAGGCCGCCGCGGTGTACTCTGGGAAAACAGCAGTGGCTTTAATCTTTAACCTACAGCTTTAAATTGCAAACTGAGACGATGAAGTGATGGACTGTTTTGTATGTTAATGGTTTCTGCAGAGATAAACCATAAAAAACAAAAGTCAAACGTAGATGCGGCTTTAGAAATTCGCTGCATTAAAATATAATAAATCATAGAGACGTTTTGAGCTCCACATTTGTTTAAATATTGGAAATGTGAATTCTTGCGCTGCTATTGTGCAGACAAAACAGAGACCTGTCACTTTCCTCATCAAGTTGCCTCGCTTGCTATATTTATACCCTCCTACAGTGGGCTCAACCGCTCATTGTCAGCTCCACATTGTCAAAAGATTCTCCAAGATTGTCAAAACTTATTTTGAGAAACACATTTTCATAAAAGCATGTGCATGGAGTAGAAAATGAAAAAATCTCAAACTTTCACAAATGAAACGTATCCAACGATGTAACCCGCGAGTAGGAGTCTCTCTGCCGCAGTCTTACAATCCCATCGCACGAGGAAGCAGAACAAGTCAAACTCCGACCACCGGATCGAGATTATTGAAGCTTTCCCTTAATGAGCGTCCAGCTGCCGGGGAGAATATCGACGGCTGGGCCGAGGGTAGAAACGAGGCCTGTGGACTGGATCACTGAATGATCGTCAAGACACCCATCACCCCTCTGTGTGTGTGTGTGTGTGTGTGTGTGTATGTGTGTGTGTACACTGGTGTCCCCTGCAGCAAGATGTGTGAACTGTGAATAATGCGTTTCAGTGTGGCGTCTCCTGGATATTTGCCTGTAGTAGTTTTGCAACAGAGGCAGGTGGGATGCTTGGTTTACTTTGGAGCGTCAGGGAGACCGTGTTAAGAAACCTGTGTTTGTGTGTGTGAATATAAATAAACCCGAACATGTCTGCGTACCAGTACTATATGCTGCACACAATGTATTTGCTTCAGGCCGACGGCTCGATGTGCGATGTGCGTGTTCACGTGCCTGCTCACGCATGCCAACATATGCCTCCGTACGTCCATGCTGTTTCAATGTGTGCACGACCACGAGGTTTTGCAATACATTGCAATGCCTTTGAAAGAACAGAGAGTGTGTGTGTGTGTGTGAGAGAGTGTGCAGGGCCCCGCGGTGAGGTTTGCTGGTGACAGGTACCCCCCCCCACCCCCCCCCTCTCTCTCCCTCTCGCTCTTTTTCTCTATTTTTTTTCTGCCCAACTTAGTCCTTCTATAACTCCCGGTTTATCTCTCTCATATTACGCTCCCCTCCCTCTCCAGATCGGAGCAGACATCACCATTTATATAAAGCCGGTTAGACATTTTGAAACCTATTGACGGAGCACTGAGTAGAAATGCCCTATATATAGTGGTGTTGCTTGAGCGATGGGGTGGAGGAGCCTTCCAGCACTTTAACAGAGCGGGTGGTGTGTGTGTGTGTGTGTGTGAGAGTGCGTGTGTGCGCCTGTGTGTGTGTGTGTGTGTGTGTGTGTGTGTCATGTCAGATGATGGGTGCAGACATCAGCAACCAACTGCAGCTGTTGGTCAACTCAAACATCCCCGACGCTCCTGTGAACAAAAATTGGAAACTTCTTTCTCAAAAATAAGCGAATAGCACGAAGAACCTTGTCAATAATGTGAAAGGAACTCAAAAAGGTATGTAGAAATTATTTCATGTGACTCATTCAGGAAATATGTGCACGTTCATCGCATGCCTACTTGCTTGATTGACAGCGGTCTTAGCCTACCGCGCACTGCCACGCTCCTCATCTGACTGATGCCGATGAAAAAAGTGATAAATGAAAAACCAGAAAATAGTGTGATGTCACATAAACACACCAAGGCCACGTTTTCTTACAATCACACCTACAAAAACACACAACTCCATGAGCTGGAATGCGTCCACACAGGCCGACTTGTATTCATTGGAACATAAATAATACTCTCTAATGAAAAGGGAATCCAACAGAGACAAAACAAAGGAACGGCAAGAGAGAGAGAGAGAGAGAGAGATAAACACCATGTTAACAGTGGGAGGGGCACCCGAAAAAATTCCCAATCCCAGTCCTTGGAGGGGGTATGTTGTGCGTCTCCGGCCTGCAGCTTAGTAAAAGGAGCATCAACGACTTACACCGACTCCAGTGAACTACTGAAAGAGGGCCACGTAAAGGTCATGCGAGTGTGTCTCACAGTGAGCTTGTTAAAACAAAACCCCCACGTAGGATTCCTGGAGGGATTCCGGGCGGATCACTTTACCCAAAGCCCCCCCCCCAGCCGCCCGGGACACGCCGACGAGCGGGGCGCGATGAGGAGCCGACGCAAAGTGGTGAAATATCGAGCAGAAAGCAGCAGGAAGTGGGAGACATTCTGCGGCTGGAGGAATAAATGCTCATAACATCTGGAGCCCAGCGGCTCTCCGCTGATTTTCCTTCTCCGTCCGCTTGTCCTGAGCCCAGGTAGCTTCGCGAGGTCGAACAATTGCTCTCGGTGGGCCGTCGGGCTTTAACTCTGAGGGCAAGTGGGAGTCGCACTGCGGTAATTACCCATCCTGCACTTCCAAAGATAACAGCTCTGCTCTTAATCCCGCTCAAAACAAACAAGCTTCAGCAGCGAGGAATGCAAGCGGCTCGGTGTTTGTTCTCTCCTCGGTCATCCAGGGGAGCGCGGCGTCCTGCGGGAGGCGGAGTTCAATCTCCGGCTGCGTTTGTTGACTTGAGGAGTCGAGTGGAAGCAGAGCTCGTCCCTGAAACGCTGACACAAAGCCCTCTCGGTGGTTTGGTCGACGGTGCTTCCGCTGCACACGGCGACCACAGCTCGCTCTTGTTATTGTAATCTGCTGTATCAATCACTGCATCTAACGCTAAATGACTGTTTTTCATCAAATAAAGCTTATGCATTCTCCAAATAGGAGAAGATGTTTTACAGTTCCAAGAAGCAGCTTTGTTTGCCGATGGAGAAACAGTTTGGATACTTAGGTTTTTGTAAAGTAAAATGAGTATATTTAGAACAATCGCTGCAACAACATCCTTCCCGACACTCACGGGAGCTACCAACACGGCCTCGATTGGCTGCGTCAAAATAAAAGCTCTTAAAGTGGGACGTTTACGCCAAAGCGTTTATAAGAAAATGTGTTAATCCCTCACTAAACGGCTTCAGCAGCTCCGACCCAACAGAACAAGTCTGCCCGCCCTGCAGGTATGAGCCAGATGAGCCAGGTCACAGCGACTTAGTGGGTGGAATCACCACGGGACACACACACACACACACACACACACACACACACACACACACACACACACACACACACACACACACACACACAGCACTCCATCATGTCGCTGTGGCCTGTATGACACAGACAGCAGATGAAAGCAGACCAAAGAGAGGGCGTCCGTGGGAAGCGTGCAGAGACACCTTTGGAAAAGGGAAAAGGCGTGCGAGCCTCGAGAGGCTGGCGTCCCTTTAATAGCTGCGAGGAAAGTTCCCTTCGTATGTTTTGGACGGGATGGCCCTCCTCTGTGACGCTGCAGGTGGGGAGGAAAACTAAAAAAACAGAACCAAAATATCCAGCAGATCTTTATCCCGTCTCTAATTCTTCCACGCGCCATTAAAAACAACTGAACACAATTCAGACAAGAAAAACAGCCTCTCCACCGCATTTTCCTCTGACGCGTCGCAGGTTCTTCTTCGCTCTTTACGTAGAGATGATGTGGAATCAATGAGTGAAGAAGAGAAAAGAAGAAGAAGTTCGAAGTGACACATTAGTTTGTTTTTTTAAGGCCATTTGTGTAACTGGCATGAAAACCCTCCTCCCGTCTGTGGTTATAAATCCTCGCCACGTAGAGGGAGGACATTTAACGGGGGGGGGGGGGGGCGTTGATTTCCTGCATGTCAGCGCTGCACAAAGAACAATCAAGTTGATGACACGATAGCACGAGGCCTCGATAGAGGAGGGCCGCTGAGGTCATAAAAAGGGGAAGCATACATGTTTGTGGAGAGACTATTTCGGTGCTGCAAACACACACACACACACACACACACACACACACACACACTCACTAACAGTCCAGCTGTGGGTGGTGCCCCCGTCATGCGAGACCATAATCAAAAGCTGCTGCCTCCTCTGGGCTCGTTTATCCTCCCGCAGGCGTCACAGCGGAGTCACATTGAACACACACACACACACACACACACACACACACACGTACACGCACACACACACACACGCGCATCAAGCAATCCTAAATGACACGTGGAGGGCGGACGGAGTTCTACCGTTGCCTCACTGCAATGTCGGATTGGGTTTGAGTTTACACGTTAGAGGCTGTAATCTCTTCATCATACAGGCCCCTTTGATTAGATTTAATAATAAAAGAAAGGACGCGCTGCTCTGCGGGTCCCCGCCGCTTATTTCGGCGCCCACACGATCTCCTGTTTTCCAGTTTCACATTGCAAAGAGCGGCTCGGCCCCTTCTGACGCGCCGGCCTTTTGGTAGTAAGCGGTACTTTTATCGTGTGTTATGTTAGTTGTTCGGGGCACCGAGCTGTTTTTTTTTTTGCTAACAAGCCTGATTGATTATAAACAGGAAGACAACAAAGCCCTCAAGTGGTAAAGAGGCATGTTTGGCTTTCTCAACAATTTACTCAATAATTTGATCATTTCATTTCTGAGTGCCTGAGAATCCTTCTGCCCCATCTTACACGAGCCCCCCCGACGCCTGTAACCGGTTGTTGGTAGAACAACCTTTTTAAAACCACATAAACGGCACAAGTTACCGAAGCGCGTCGATTAAAGCGGTGAGACCGCAGGTGTGAACGTGCCGCCGAGGCCGTTTCAACCTTGAACAACAGCAGAGGCCGAGCACGCGTAGCGAATACAGACGTGTAGACTGCGTGCATATCTGAGGAGTCTAACCTGCTGACCCCCCCCCCCCCCCCCCTCGAGCTACCTGCAGGTGTGAACCTCTCAACGTTCCCTTAGCAGGTGAACACGCCGGTTGTCGTGGTTACCGCGGCACCGGAGGCCCCCGTGAGGTGTTGGGATGCTCGTATGGATCCGTCCCGCACTCTGATTTGCGTGAGGGGTCTTGAGGAGATCGATTGACCTTTCAAGTGTCACGTCTGTTGTCAAGTGAGCGAATCAATGCCACAATGTGGCCGTCTTTATGGCTCAGGGCGAGGCAAATGTGATTTAGGCCCCCCCCCGCCCCCCCCCCCCCGTGAGTCGACGGCGCGGGATTTAATCAAACTGTTTTATCGCGTTACGATGATGGAAGTTTTTCAAAAAAATTTCGGGGAGGGCGGGACAACCAAATCTTTGGAATTTCCTTCCAATTAGAGGAAAAAGCCGGGGGGGGGGGGGGGGGGGGGTGGGGGCTTGAAGGGGAGGGGGCGTCGGGGGGCGGACTTAAAACGAGTGAAGCGCGACGTCCACCTGTGAGCCGATGCGATTTGACATCGCCGCTTGACGACTGTCGGCTGCGAGCGACGGGAAGTGATGAAAGCGCGGCGGAGGGGTGATGAAGGGGGGCAGGGATTAGGTGGAGGAGAAGGAGACGGAGTCACAGCAGGGGAGTGGGAGGGGATTGAGTCTCGGGGCTTCCCCCCCCCCCCATCCCCCTATTCTTCGTCATCTTGCACCAAATCCTGTGGACTTGCTTCACCTGGGAAAAGCACACAAGGTGTTTTCCCCACCAGCACGACGTCGCAGCTACTTACGTTATTTTGCATTGTTTAAAACTTTTTTTTAATAACTACTGTATATATCTATTTTATTCACGTTTTAATCCCCGTTCTGCTACCTGTAGGATGTGACCGTTGCTCTCTGTGGTACCTGCCCCGCCCCTCCTCTGTGATTGGACGGCTGGGCAAAGTTGAACAAAGCTCAACTCTCGACCAGCGAAAAGGACGTCACACTTTCTCGAGAAGAAAAAACAAAAAACAATTGGAGCATCGGGGCGGTTTGCTCGGCTGCGTTTGGCTTCGAAAGCGTTGTCGTGCAATGCCGCAGTTTTAATTTGCAACATAAAGCGTGCTTCATTTATGTTCCTCTGATTTAGAACCCCAGCTGCAGGTAACTCAGGGAGGACGCTGTGATTCAACGCCACTTGCGTTTGCTGATTCACAGGTTGGTCAGCACAGCAGCTCGCATGAAGACAAATAATCCTTGTCAGAGGCTCCGCGCGGCTCGCTTATCGTCACGGCATGAGGCCCGGGGGGGGGGGGGGGGCGTACGGAATAATTGGGCCGCATCGCCGTGTTGTTTTTGTGCTTTTGGGAACGACACCACGGCACCGACGGCGTTTGTGTATTTTGGAGCAGTCGTGCACAAATGAGGTTCTTACTTTCAAAGTAGCACTTGGAAAGTGAAGATTAGTCAGCGTTCACTGGGGACGCAGCAGCTGTTGCTTCCGAAGGAGTGATAATTAAAGCCGATAAAGAAACATGTCTTAAAATGAGTATGTCCAGAATTTCAAATTGCAACTCAACTCAATTTTGAGTGATAAACAGTAAAGAATCAGCACCGGGGCTTTGTTTCTCACGGAATCGGCCTAAAATTAGAACAAACATGAGTTTCACCTGAAGCTCAAAAACAGATCATTTGTTGTTACACAGGAAAACAACTAAATTCTTCCTTTACGCTGAAATGTAACACGGAGCATGAAAACAAGGCTGATTAATTTGTTTACTATTTAAATCCTCCTTTGTGATGATTCTGGATCTGTAAGCTGCATCTCTCTCTATTTGCAGGGCAAAACGAGAGTTCTGTGAATGCCTCCTAAAAGGCATTTAAAATAAGCTCATCCCCAAACACAATCAGATGAAATGAGACCGCCATCGACTGCTTTCGGCGCTCCGCCGCCGCACTCGGACTCTGCATGACGCGTCGCTCGCCATCGCTCCTCGCTGATCCTCCAGCCGCTGCTTTCATTTCAGCCCTTGTTCCCAATTCATCGCCATTTTGCCGACACTGAGCGGACAGACGCCGTGGGGGTGCGCGAGGCTACCTTGCATGGTGAGTTGGGCCTGGGCTTCGACGGTGGCGTTGCCGCTGTCCGCCGCGCAGGTGTAGACGCCGGCGTCCTCCTCCGTCAGGTTGGAGATCTGCAGGCTGCCTCCGCCCAGCAGCTCCACGCGGCCCTCGCTGGTACAGGAGGAGGGGAGGTCGAGGGGGAGAAAGGGGAGAAAGTGAGTCAAGTCGTCCGTGCATCGGTGACCTTTTAGGGCTTCGCCACGTGCAACACCATCAGCATCATATGCAAGAGACCTCGACATCTTCTTAAAAACCACACTTATGAAATATGTAAAAAAAGGATGTAATTACAGGCCACTTCTGGCTGAGTGACTGAAATGTAAAGGTTCTGTTGAGGTCCACGTATACCTAAATAGCCTGAGGACGAGTCCACATCTGTCACCGCTCACCAACCCCTGAATCAAAGACCTTAAAATCGGTCTGATGTCCTGAAAATGGAACAATTCGTCTTAACAGAGAAGCTTTACTGACGGCGCTACAATCCGGAGATCTTGTGACGCAAACGAATGCTTTCAAAGAGTAAATGTACCAAGTGACACCGGGGCTACAGCCTGTGCTGCAGTTTGCACCGTACAAAGTGACATCGCCCCACCAAAGGCGCCGTTTGCCTCCGTCAGCCGCCGATTAACGCAGCCAATCACACGGAGGAGACGGGATCGTGGAGTTTTGCCAGGTTCACACCTTTGATAAGTCGACTTTTATATTCTCCCGATGCCGTTCCCCCCGTTCGTCCCTCCGCTCAATCGCTCTGAAACGCATGAATTCATGCCTAAGAGACGAACCGTGGCAGAGGAGGACTGAGCGAGCGGCCGAGAGCGCCAGCAGGGTCACGCATTCCAGAGACTTCATCCATCGTAAATATTTATCACTCCTATTTCACGTCCGATCCCAAAATGTAACCACACATCTATTCGTGCAGCCTCTTTTTGAACCAGTGACCCTCCTCCGTTTCATTTCGAACTAGATTTTTTTCGCCCCCAACAGGCCCGGAGGGAAGCGGCCCCGTCGCCGAGCTCCGGCCTGCATCAACAACCACGGGAGCAGAGCGGGGAGGCCGAGAGCGAAGGAGGCGGCTCTCTGAGAACTCTGCATTCAGAGAGAAAGCGGCGCGGTGCCGCGTGGAGGGACGGCGGCGGCTCGGCGAGCGCGGAGCTATCGGCCGGCTGTGGGCCGAGGACACACGCAGAGGTAAAGACAGCACGGGGGGGGGGGAACAAACTCTACTCCGCAGGTTGATTTAGTGTGAACAAACCGCTGACTAGCTCGGGCTTCCGCCCAGGGTCTCGCTCCCCCCCAACGAGGAACTCCCGTATCCTGGGCAGCCTCGGCCTCCTGAGGGCATCTGGCCAGTCCGCGTGCGGGAGCGTTTGAGATGGCGCTCAACCCCGCTGTCCCCAAAAATGGCGGTTTCCCTCCAAAAATGCGGAAAAAGCGACCCATTGACCGCTCCAGCCCACATATTAACCAGACTAACCCCGGGGGTGCAAAAGGGTGTATGCTAAAAACTTAAAATGCAATTAGCCATTAGCTTTGTGCAGTTTTCATACATTTTCTTCCCGGACGGCAGCAGCGACGTGAGCCTAAAGACGCTCAAGCAGAAAACTGGTTGACACAGATGTTATGAACGCCGCTGTGCTGTGAGAGGTTAGTGGCCGATGCAGGTTTGGCGCATTGCCGTCCATTGAAGCAGAGGTCGGCCACATTGGAAAAAAAAGCGTCAGCGACATTTTAAAAAGCCGGCAATCAAAATCCCCATTCCGATGACGTCCACTGTGCAACAATGCAGATCGAAGCTGCGGATGCTGCCTTGAAGTTGAAGATTTCTACCGCTCTCGAGGCAGAGATCCCATTCAACAAAAGCCTCTTTAACACGAGTTAGAGGGGGAAAATAAGACAGCAGCTGTTTTTTCTCTGCGACCAAAGATTACGCAGAACCACAGGAAGGCTGCTGACAGAGGCCCCGCGCGTCAAATCCTTTTTCTGAATGATAATTTCCCCGGAAAGACGTGGCCGTGTTGGTGGTGACGGCCATCGGTGGAACGATTCACACTCCTCAGGCCTTTCAGTGCCTCGTGGCGTCTCTCTCTCTCTGTCCTACTTGCAAGGAGGAACATGCGGCACGCGTCAAACCACCGGTCCGAGCCGAATGGGCCCGAAGGCGCCTGGTCGCGAGGGAGCGTTTGTGGTCTTCATAAGGGAGGCCAGGAGGGGAAGGATATCTTGTGCGTGGGCTGCGGGTCCTCGGTGAGGCATGAGGCTCTAATTAAAAGCACGTTATCTGCATTTCGCCTACAAAAGAGCCGCGAAGAACACCGTCCCTTCTGTCCTGTTGAAAAACAGCCGATGCACACACGCTGCGGGGAGATTACAGGGCGAGTGTGTCAGCCGGACACGGAGCGCTGCTGCTAATTGGCCTTGTTTTTCTTGTATCAATTCATATTCCAGCAGCTACAACCTTCCACATCGTTACAGGTCTGCTGTGCAGCCTGAGAACACATTCGGCACGTCGAGCGGCGACTCCGACAACGGATGGATGGAGTGGGCCCTCTGGGTCTCTGTACACAACTTGACCCCCCCCAGTCATTGCATAACTGTTATGAGGATATGAGCTTGGGAGGACGGCCTCCTTCCAAAGGAAATGAATGATTGCATTTTGAATTAAGGTGAGATTAAAGCTGGTGCCAGCGGCTGAGGCGTCTCAAGTGACTTCCTGTTTCCCTCCGCTGGAAAACGGCAACGCCCCCCCCGAGACAAACGCAGCTCTAGCGTACCCGACTTTATTTGCTTTTTCTTTTCGTCTCTTTGCAAACCGATCGTTTGATTAGTGCACGTTAGACTCTAGAATATGTGAACACCTTTAGATAGCAGCGGAGGGCCGGGTGAGCCCTCCATCGGATTATAAGGCGCTTGAATGGGACAAACATCGACATCCTTTCTGGGAAAAGCGCCTCAGTAGAGCCTGCAGGTGAGTCCTTCCATGCTGTGGAAGACAATGTGCGGGTCCAGTTAAAACCGCCTATTGTCGGTTCTCTTTGAAGCGACGATGCTTCTAGAGCCAAATCGCACCACGTGCATGAGTCGCTTTTTCTTGGAAGGGATGAAAAAATGCAACTGACGATTCAGCAAATGGCCAAAGTAATCCTCTTATCCTCCATTGCTGCATGACAATAAGCACAACATTATGACAAGAATGCATCGACAAAACAATGGCCGCTATGACAGGAAGCGCTCTTTGAGGAGAGCCGGTGTGTGTGCGTGATGCAGACTGACAGACACACTAAAGGGAAGGCTTCCCGTTGCTTGTCTGGTTTTCTCTCGGCCCCACATGCTGGCAAAACCACTCCGCTCCCCGAACGCGCTCTGCTGCGGCCGCCCATCACTCGACCGGCGCTGAAGAAATGAGACTTCCTCTGCAGAATGGGGACCATATGGGCCTCCTGCGTCCCAGAGAGAATGCCGTGTGCTGGTCACACGCTGCGCTGTACATGCCAACCCCCCCCTCCATGCGGGCAACATGTGGAGCAGAAGAGTTTCTATTGACGCGCACGTGGGTCTGGACTCTTAAAAGCTTCTTTTAAAACACTTTGTAACGTGTAAAAATCAATACAAAGCCCAGACATCCATTTTGATGTGGATTTAAAAGGTCGCAGTAGATGTTGTGCTGGACTTTAGGTGCCGTTTGTAGGGTTTTGATTTAAAATATTAGAAACGCATTTCAATACATCTCAGGCGAGTGCAACGAGAAAACGGCTTTGACACCAGGAACTGTTGCATCCGTCGGCCGAGTCCGTGCCAAGCGAGGACATCGGAAACGCACACGGAGCGCTGCCGCGGTCGCAGGGATGAGAAAGAGTTCAGCGGGAGGCGGACATTTTGCCATTAACCTCACTAATAGTCACTCCGAGCAGGGAGGCGGGTGAAACTCGTAGGCCGTTAACGTTGATGGCTTTGCAGCTCTGGCAGAATGAACGGTTCAGTTGCCCTGCTGCACATTTAAAACATTGTGACGCGAGCAGAGGGCTGCAGCACGTGGTCAGGTGGGTTTGGATTCAATGACGGCAGCTGTGAACGATGAAACTACGCTTAAAAAGGATGTATGCAATAAAGCTGGGCAAAGAGCTGCACAATTAAACAACTATTAATCACCGGCACCGTCTAGGCTTCTCACAACCAGTTTAGCTTTAGCAGGAATGAAGCACACGATGAAAACGAAATAAGTTCTCTTTGAATTGAATTGTGGAAGAAAATATTTTTGATAATAGAAATGAACGAATAATCATGTTTAAAAACTGTGATTCAATATTGCTCCGCAATAATATATCTCGACTATCAGTTCCGAGTGTCACTTTGTGACTCCAAATTATAGACAATTATGGATGATTGCGTGTGAGGGATCGTTAGCTCGGATGACTTTAAATGTCAGAGTTTTTGTCTAGAAGACGCGCTGCAAATTCTCTGTGGTGAATTAGCCGTTTCATTGCACATTGCACAGTAATAATACGTTTGTAGAAGAAGTAGTTTTGTTATAGAACGCTAAAAAAAACGGTGTTTTATTGTTCAGAGTTTAAAATTACAAACAGCGGCAAATGAAGCTTGAGGTTTTCTACGAGGCAAAAGTGGCAGGATTCAGATTCAAACCTCCATCTCTTATTGCAAAAAAGCAACACATGGTGACACCGAGTTAAAAGCCAATTTTCATTTCCGCGACAGACGTGTGCCGTTGCATTTATATGCAGTGTTGTGCGTTTTATTCCCTTCCTTCACCCACCAGCAAGCAAGCAAGCGAAACATGCACGAGTGTGTTTCGCGTGTGTGTTTGTGCATATTGGATGTAAGAGTTGCACTGCAGCCCAATAACAGTCAAATTGCAAACAAATTTGCCACAAGATGCTTCTCCCTTCACTCACACACACACACACACACACAAGTGAATGCAATACACACAATCATATTTAAATAAGGGCGAGGAGGAGAGACGTATGGCTTGGAGGGCTTTGGGGGGGGGGGGGGGGGTGATTTACATGCTCTTGCAATTCCCTGGTGGTGGCGGATATGCATAATTTCTCCGTTTTATTGACTGCTGGAGAAATCTATTAAGTGATAGAGTGATACTCCCCAGAACAAAAGACGACTGCCCGTTTCATGAGTGTCATCGGGATCGCCGTCGATGACACGCGGCGCATTCAGCCGGGGGCGGCTTTTCAAGACGTCTCAAGGCGGCTTCAGAGAGGGGAGCGTGTTCGGTCGCGCTGCCGTCAGAATAAACAGCGAGTTTGGCAAAAAAAAAAAGGTTGACGCGCGGTGCGTTATGAGGGGAGCACGAGCTGAGTGATCAGACGCACAGCTAGCGTGCAGCCACGGACGCATGTATTTCTGGTGACATTGGCTGTAAAAAAGGTTCTATGGAGATGACCAACTATCTCCTTGCTCATTGTATAATCCCATATTAAATGGTGTCATTTAAGGTACCGGGATCAGAGCAGAGAAACGTGGGGATCATAGAGGGAGCGCTGTGATTGGTCAGCGCCCCACAAAGTGGACATGGTGTAGTGCGATGGAAGCGTTCGGGACTCGTACGCGCAGCACCTCAGAGACTAACTTCCCTCCTGCTGAGAGTCAGTGTCCCCCGTCCGTCATCGCCGGCATCAAAGAGTCTCCCAGAAGCCTTTGAGTGCTACACGGCGATGTGGACAGGTGATACAAGAGGAACAGCAGCGACTGTCTTCTGGCAGGTTATGAAAAAACATGCTAATGATACTCTTCAAAGACTTAAGACAGAAATCCAACTTTTAACAGAAATCCTTTGGCTTTTGAAAAGACCTTTGAAGGATTCCACCGTTTCTTTTTGAAAGCGTTCTGGTGCACTTCTGAGGAGTCAGTCAGTCACAAGAGGAGAATTTGACATCCAAGAGTGTGTATCGTCTAAAAAAAAAAAAAACCCCAAAAAAACCATCTCCTCTGGATCACCTGCATCAGCCGCGGCTCGGAAAGAACGCGAGCGACGCGACCAAGCCGAAGCCCCAGCAGCCGAACGTCCCGGCTGACAGCGAGTCGCCCTGCGTTTCCCTGGTGGCGCCGACGCGCCTTTATGAAACTTTCATCTCGTCTCTGCAGCTCCGCCGTCGCAACTTTCAAGGCCCACCTCCCCCCCCCCCCCCGCCGCCGCCAAAAACCAATTAGACACTCGGGGCACATTCTCTCTCCCTTGGACTGAATGCCACACTGATTGTTAATTGACAGCAGCTCTTCTATCTCTCATGCAACGGCTGAGAGGGACGAGAGGCTTTCAAGGAGAAAGAAAAAAAAAAAGATTTCAGGGCTGTTCTTTTCTTAATTGTCAATGTCGTGTTAGAATCAAAAGCGCAGTCCCTGTAATGTATTCGCCACACGACCCGTTCCAGCAAGGACGCCCACTTGGGAGACCTCCCCTGGTTGTTCAGGGTGCGCTGGCTAATTACCAGCAGCGGCACACTGGGGGGGACGTGTATGAACACTGGATAGGGTTTTGCAATTAATACGAGGTAGATTGATTAAAAAGAAACGGTTTAGCCAGCTCCCGTTGGAGGTCTGAGGAGCTCTCACAGGGTTCCACAGGTGTTTAACGCGAGATGTGGCCACACGCTCGGACCGAACGGTTGGAGGTTCTAATGAGATCGCAGCTCCCACTTTGATGCCTTTGTAATTAAAATTCACCGGAAGGTACAAAAATCCCATTCTGGGCTTTAATTTAGACGAATGAGCCCCATTTCAGCCGTTTGCCGTTGAACCGCAAAAGTTTAAACGTTGTTATTATTGGTACGCGGAGGGAAAACAAAGGGCTTTCTTACAGTAATTGGTGAGAACCGAACAGAGGGATCTGAGCTGCTGTGCGGCGGCGCTAACAATGGGAGCTCTCGTACCTTTCTTCCAGGTGCTTGTCTCCAAACATCCAGCGAAGGCGCGGCGCGGGGAAACCGGTGACCAGGCACGGCAGCAGCACGTCGGCGCCCACCGCCTTGGTCACCGGCGCCGGCTGCACCAGGAACTCCAGCTTCCGCTCTTCTCCGGTTTCTATGACGAGAGAGGGGGACGGAAGAGGGAGAGGAAAAGAGGGGGCCCGGGTTAAGGCCGGTTAGATTAGACTTCCATGATGCTCAAACGCAGACTGTATTTTTCTAATAAACCGAAATGCATGAAATCATTTTCCGACATTCACCATCTCGCCCCGCAAACACCCCTGTTCCTTTACTCTGAAACGACTTCCATCCAAACTAAATTTCGCTTCCATTTCCTCACACGGCGCGGTGAGTTTTCTGTGTGCTTTCAGCCTTTAGACCCTCCAAGCGCACAGCACACGGAGATAAGGACCCCCACCGGGGGCCTAGTTGGGAGTCTGATTTACGACCTCTAATATCTCCTCTGTGCTGCCTGGTGCTTAACAACAGTAAATAAAACTTCTAAGGAGGAAGCGGACGGGGGATGAACTCCCCGGGACTTCGAAGCACTCCTCTTGGCATTCTGCCCTCCGAGCAGATTTCTGCTCCCTGAAGCCAGCGAGAAGCCCCCGAAGACGCCGCCGCCGCCGCGTGCGCCTTCAATCAAACGAAGCACTGAGCTATGTTTTCATTTCAATTTACCGCACAAGTGGCTCGGCGGAAGGAGCCCTGGCACAAGTGCGCCGTAATCACGGGTGTGAAAATGTTCTGATTTAAGGAGTCTAAATGAGTTCTCCATGAGATAACAAAGGCCAAGCAGCGGCCAACAAGCATCATATGTCTTAAAATCCTACATGAAGCTCCAGTAGTGCTCACTGGCGGCGGCCGCTGTCGCGTTAGCGTTAAAATCCCTTAAGCTCGCGTGAGCCTGCGGACCAGATGTGCATGGTTTCCAGATGTCGGCATTCCCTCGACCCCCCCCCACCCCCCCTCCGGGACAAAACGCTATCCGCTCAAAAGTACCTGGCAGCGTTTGCAGCTGGGCCTCGTCGCTGGCCTTGGACGACCCCACGTTCTCCACCAGGCAGCGGTACAGGCCGGCGTCGGCCTCCGTGGCGTTGCTGATCACCAGGGCGCCGCTGGGCAGCTGGACCAGCCTGGCGCTGGGCTCCAGCGGCAGGCGGTCCTTCTCCCACCGGGCGAAGGGCACCAGGTCGCCGTTGACCTCGCACGCCATCACCTGGCTGCTCCCCAGGTGCACGGCGGCCGGCGAGGGCTGGCTGGCGAAGCGCGGCATCCCTGCAAGACAACGACAGCGAGCGGGTCGCGTGTTACGAAGCGGTTCACATTTCGGTGGCATTTGGGATTCGGGCATTTGAGTTCGCCGCTCGAGTTATGCCTTCAAGGCCGGGGTTTTGAATCCGTTGGATTCATCTTATTTCGTTTCCCTTGGACCTTTAACAAATGGGACCTGGTGTGTTTGCAACGATGACAAGATGCACGTTGGGGCGCCGCTCTGCAGCTGCAAAGCATCTCGTTCAGGATAGATTCTCAGGAGTGAAAAGGCCACAACAAATGCTGTCCCCCCCCACCGACCTCTTGCATACACATTTACTCATACACACACACACACACACACACACACACACACACACACACACGCGTAGCACGATCACTTCTGATGTTGGATGTTAATTTGCGGCGCCGAGCAGCAGACACGCCGCACTAATTAAGAAACGGCTCGATCCCCCGGCTGTTTGTGCCGCCGCGCCCCGACTTTCAACTCGGCGCTGAATCATTATTTCCCGCGTTGGAAACCATTGATCTGAAACCTGCACTCAAAAGGCCGCGTTCGGAGCGATCGCTCACGACGGCTGCGGTGAAAAACAACTTGCAACGCGGGGGAGCGGCAAACGGTATTCTCGGGTTTATTAGACGAGAAAGTTATTTCAGAAAATGAAAACTATAAAAGGCCACTGCATTTCTAATAAAAAACTATTTCTTAGCGGCGAGCTCCCCTGAGTTTTTGGGGCTGTGGTTGTTTCCTCGGTGCACACGTGTGTGTGTGTGTGTGTGTGAACGCAGAGGATAATGATATGAAAACGAATGCATTGGTGCCTGCTGTAACTGCTCCTGCACGGGATGTGATGCTGAGGGCGTGCGCCGCGACCATGACGATGGCGTCCCCTGCCAGGGACGGGGCCCCCGGGGGTAAATCGCGCGGCGAGATAAACGGCCACGGATCCTCGTCCGGGTCGTCGTGCGCGGCTCCTCGCCGCACAATGCTAATGTGATATTTTGGTATCGAGGCCGCCAATCACCCCGTCGCGTAATCACGGCGGGTGCGAGAGAAGAAAAGCCGCAGCTTAATCATTTCCATTAGAGTCACTGCCGCCCCCCCCCCCGACCCCCTCCCCCCCTCGCTCAATCGAACGCTCGGTGATTAGCAGCGGCGGAGCGGGCTGAGCAATCAGCGCCGCCGCCATCAGGGCGAGTTCCGGGGGAAGAAAAATGGATGTTATAGAAGTGAGGCTCTAACAGCGGTTTACTCGGTGGTGGCGTTTACTGAATCTAAATGTCATCAATTTATCTTTCCGGTTCTGCCGGTATTTGATTATCTTGATGATATTAACTTCTGTTCTATATTTAGAACCTGTGTGTGTGTGTGTGTGTGTGTGTGTGTCACCTCATCCTTTTTCCTTCTGCCCCGGCAGTGGCCTTTGAAAAGAGGTCGGCCCGAGTTAAAGCGCCTCAGACAGAACCGGCCGACGGCCCGAGACCCACGAGGAGGACAGAGGAGAAGGACCCGGCGGTCGCAGCGATGGACGCCGGCTCGACAAAGTTCAGCTCAGATGGAGGGGGGGATGGAGGGGGGATGGAGGGGATGGAGGGGGGGGGGAGAATTGTCTCTTCTCTACTTTAAACCCCTCCATCGACTAATCCTTTGTTCCGCTGCAGTCATCACATCCCTCTAAGGCTGCGTTCATCATCTTAAGGCTGTGTGTGTGTGTGTGTGTGTGTGTGAGTGTGTGTGTGTGCGTCCTAACTCACACAGGCCTCGACTCGAGGGCCGTGCGCGTCTCGAGGACGGGGAAGCGGCGAGCGCCAGTGCAAGCGCCATCGACTGCAATTAATCACGATCGGGAGCTTCATTGAGCGGCGTGAAGCTCCAACGCCGCCGCCGCCTGCGGAGGCCAAATGACTGCGAGCGAGCAATCGGCTCTCGGTGGTCGCAAAACGGCATGACGCCAGTTTCTGCGCTCGTTTCTTTTTCCGACGCCACTCGCTCACCTGATTGTTCTTTGAAACATTTCCAACCCGACACCCCCGTCTGCTCGGCTTCGCCCGGCGCCGCTGACGATTCTCTGAATGCTAATTTCGCACGGATGAATAAATGGACGCGTCCGTCACCGCGCGGATGTTCGGCAGGAGAAAGAATGCCGCCGCGGAGAGGAGGGAAGAGCGTCCTCGCCGCCTGGCAGCCAGAACCTGAGGGTACCATCACTTAAATCACGCCGTCGGGTTTCTAGTATTCTTTAATGAAAAAGCAGGTATAGAATAACAATGAGCAGCTTAATGAAATATGCAGAGGGCTTCGAGGGTCTCCCTGCAGATTCGGGCTGAATTAGGAGCCGGCTGCAGAATGGCGGCCTGACTGTTGCACGTCTCTCAGGCAGCCGTTTTTTTTACGTAATTAAGGGGCAGAGAGTCGCATTCAGGAGCCACACAGACGGCCGTGCCCCCTCACATGGATCCAGCTTGACAGACTGCCGTGTTTGGACTGGCAATGTTAATGAAAGGACATATTTCCTGCCCGGGGAGAATTGGGAATGTAAAAGAAGAAGTTGAGCAATCACCCCTGAAAAGTGGAGACAGATGCGGCCGCTGTGGGAGGAGACTTCATGGTGACGCTTTGAACGCACAAACATGAACGCTTGTTAACTAATAAAATAAAACGCATTGCACAAACGTGGTTTTTTTTCTTCTACTGTGACAATTTGGCGGAAACCTCCTGCCGATGCCATCGAAAGTCGTCATCATCATCATCATCTCGGCACAGAAACACACATCGTGCCTTAAAGGCATTATGGGATGCCACGCTCGCTGGAACTCAATCGACTCCGAGGCCTGTCCCCGACCGGCGCGCTGGTGCGGTTTTCCAGGCTGCAGACGTCGCCCCCTGCTGGCACGGCCAACAACGGTGGAAAATACAGCCGTACTCGAACGCGCCGCCCGAAAAAGCGAGGAAGAGCTTCCGGAGATTTGTTTTCCGTCTTAGAATGAAGCTCGGTACCGGAAGATTAAGAGATCCCTCAGCAGAATATCTCTCCCCGCGCGCAGCCAACGAGCCGGATTTGACATTTGGCCATCGCGAGCAATCAGGAGGAAGAAACGCATCACAGAGGAGCGCCGAGATCCCGATTTCCCCCACCGACAAGAGTCAGGCAGAGCGGAACGGAACGCGGACACAGCGTGGGGCTCTCGTTGCGATCACTTCCCCCGGCTTCACTCGCGCTTTCCCTCTCTCCCAACTCACGGCCGCTCTCCCGGCGGTTGCTCAAAGTCATTCCGGGGGTGTGTGGGAAATCAATAAGCTGGAATTGAAGGACACGAGTGAGGTTGAAGGAAAGTGGGCACACTAGGAAAGTAGATTAAAGCCCTTCAGGTGGGAATAATTCCTGGAATGCATTGACCGTCTAAAGGGAGTAGAGTTTCCACATCGCCGTCCCTCACCAACACATCCATTACAGTTTTGCACACAAATAATCGTCGTTGGTGCTTTCATGAATTCCAATAGAGCCAAATTAAGGTCGGCTGAGCCAAAAAAAACAACAATGTCAGCCGCTGAGGCGTTGGATCCCAGAGTACATTACAAGCGAGTGTGAAGACACCCAATCAACGGCAAAGAGAATGCGAGACTGAGATTGGGACGGGAGGATGCTGGTGGGAGGGGAAGGGGACGACGAGACAATAATGTCTACTAGATGTCTTGGCTTTGAGAAGTGCGCGCTTAGCCAAAGCTGAATGCCTTTGCCTGATGCGAAAAGCCGCCCGCGCACAACATGTACGGAACGCGCTTCGTTCCGTTCTCCGGCTCGCTCGCTCCTGCTGGCTTTAAGGGCAGCGGCAGTAAGCGGTTATTAATTCCCTAATTGAAGGTTTCAGAGCTTTGGGGGAAAATACTTGTTCCATTACAGGAAATCATGTCATTCAGCCCGCGTACCCGCGTACCTTTGGTTATAGCGGTACAGTAAAAGTATTGATGCCTCAGACGGACTCGTATTTGGAGGGGATTTCAAATGTACAATGAAAAAAAAGAACACCACTGATATCAGTATTTCTGCACCAAAGTGTGAGAAATACTGATGTGTACAAATAGATTTAAAGGCAGGAGGATTTCACTGGATGTTTTCCCCCAGAAATGTTCCAACGCTACATCGGAGCTTAAAAAAAAAAAAATAGATATTTCACTTATTTGAGTGTTACGCATCCAATTTCAGGGTTTACGTTTTACTTCTGGAGACTGGATTAAAGAGTCGTCGGGGCGATTCCTTCTGAGCTTCTGAGAAAGCTCCGCTGGACCAAAGTGTCCACGGGGTTCTGCCGTTGCTAAAGCCTTGGTCACGTGCGATTGTTCAGACGGTGATGCTTTTGTTGGAAACAACACGTCAGTGAGGGACGGGCGCTCGCATTTCCTCTTTAAACTTTAATTGCATTGTATTGCAAAACCCACTTGAATAAACTCCCTCCAAATAACAACAACAACAACAAGTAAACGCTGTTCAGCCCCCCCGATATGGCGCTTAATAAAAAGCACTTCAGGGTAATTGTACAATGAAAAAGAGAGAGATTATTCTATCTCTCTAGTGCAGCCTCGATCGTAGCAGGGAATTACGCTTTGATGGGCGCTGCTTTAGTCCTGTTCTGAAGTAGCTCTGCATGGTAAACGGAAAGCGCAGCATGAATTCTTTAAATCCCGCGCCGCCAGGGACTTTTTATTTAAATACAAATATGGGATGCAGTTAAAAGATGGGGCCGATTGAAGTATTCCTCAAAGAAAACCTCAAAGTGGAAAGTAGATACGATAGACGCAACGCCGGCAATTCATGAGAAATACTGTGGGTGCGCATCTAAAAATAGGTTCACTCCACCAGGAGGAAAGAGAAGGCCGAACCGAAGCTGGACCATGAAACTCATCTCGGCGCCACGGCGATGGGAAAGAGCACGAAACAAACGGACAGGAGACGGATGGGTGGCGTTCCGTCTCCCTGGAGGGGGGGGGGGCGCCGGAGATGACA